ATCCCTAAATAGTTCTTATTTTCTAGCTGTTTATAATTATTATTGCAATTGGAGGTTACGTCATCGTTTTTAATAATAATAATAATAATAATATGTCTTTATTTGCCCAACAAGGGGGTACAAATAGCGGACCCTCGTTCCGCTTGACAATAATTTTGCAACCAAGAGCCTTAATATCTATTATCCTAATATCCTTAAGCCTATTTAATATCTAAGAAATTTACAACTATTTACAAAAAAGCACTTAAATCTAAAATTCGTCTTAGCGGGCAAAAAGAAAAAACACCTAAGTGCCAAAAGAAAAGCACCTCATTCCTTTACACCCATACATCCATCCTTCACATTCATACTACAGGACCTCCGTTTCCGTTGCCAACACTACATATTACTCCCCTCCCCCACGAATCCCCACTTCATCTCTATCTCCTTCAGCCATATTTCTCCTTGCCCTTCCCCTCCTAATACCTGTCCTCTCATCTCCTGCCACCCTTTCTCTACACCCCACCCAGAACAGACCTCCCAAACGTGCTCCCACGTCTCCAATTCCACCCCACATACATTGCAAATCCTACTTTCCTTTTCTTCCCAGTACCTATACCCTTTTAGGTAATCCCCTAATCTGAACCTAGCGATCCTCCTCCATCTTTCTTTCCCCCAATCCTTTTTCAAATACTCCGGAAGCCCTGGTCTTTTAATGTACTTATACTCCCTAATACTATTCGAGTCCCAAATTTTCTCCCACCTCTCTCTTTCTTGTTTGGCCTTTTCCACTTTTATCAATTCCTCCCCTCTCATTCATCCATTTTCCCATCTCCTTTCCACTTCCGTAAGATTCATTCCTCTGTCCTCAAAGAAATCTCTTCTTTTCGCTTCCCATCCAACCAGCCCTCTTCCTGCTTTTATTCTCTTCCTCGTTTCCAACCTACATCTCCTTACAATTAACCCACCTCCTCCCTTCTCTATCCTTTTTTCGTAACTCCAAGCCCTCCTACCCGCTATACCTTCTAATCGCTCTCTCTGAAGTTCTTTCCTCACCAGATACCTCGCCACTCTCCTTGATAACCCTAGTATCCATCTTAGGTACCTCTCCTGCACTTTCAATCTCTTCCCTGCCTTTCCACCCCCAAATTTCCACTCCGTAACTCATCACCGACCAAATCAATTTGTCAAATAACCATACTCTTCTAGCCCAGTTGTTCCCAAATTTCCTTTTACCTATTCCACAAATCTGCCCTAGAATCCTCGCTCCCTTTGCCACTCTTTCCCTCACATGATCACCTTGCTCCCCGTTAGACTTCATGACGTACCCTTGGTACGTATATCTGCTCACTTCCTCTATCTCGCTACCATTTCAATTCCACCGCACCTTTTTCTTCCGACCACCCCCTTTTCTACACCTCATGACTTTGGTCTTCGCTACATTTACCTCTAACTTCTTTTTCTTCACAAATATCTCCAGCGTCCTAATCATACCCCTCATTTCATCTTCCTCTCTAGCTAACAACACCACGTCGTCTGCATAAGCTAATGAAAATATCTTCTTCCCACCCGATAAATCCACCCCTCCCCACCTCCCTCTTTCTAGCTCCTCATCCAAATCAGCCAAGGAAAGCACGAATAGAAGCGGACTTAACGGGCAGCCCTGCGTTACCCCTTTCATTGTCCAGAATCTTTCTCCCAACTCTTTCCCTACTCTCACTCTCCCACATGTTTCCTTTAAAACTACCTCACATCTCCTCACCAGTCCTTCACTAACTCCTCTTTTCCTCAGTGCCTTACTCAGCTCCACTCTATCTACCGAATCAAACGCCTCCTTGAAATCTACAAATAGAGCTACCATTTTCCCTCTCTCTACCTATTTCCCTGTTAATAAGGTAATTTAGCGCATATATATTATCTATGGTTCCTCATCCTGCCCTGAACCCAACTTTCGACTTTGGTAATAGCCCCTTTCCCTCTACTTCCGCTTTTAACCTCTTTTCTAGGATTCCTACGTAGATCTTGTACGCAGTCTGCATTATAGTAATCCCACATTATTTATTACAATGAAATGATTATTTTTATTATATTATTTATGGGAAATTATTTTTATTATATTAAAAACGGTTCTTATTTTCAGGATATTTAATACTTGATGTTTAATTAATTTTCATACAACGTTTCACCACTTTCGCAGCTTTTTCAGGTACTACAACAGACAATAATCATTATTACATTTTCATCATATATATACATACACAACAATTAGTAATAATTTAATTAACAGATAAAATTAAACTAATTTAAAACACTAATAAAATTACCTCAATTACAAACATCAATTGTTAAATTTATGTATAATAATATCGGCATTTAATCGACTTAAACTTCTTTTTGTTATTAGTATCATATCACACTACTTTTAATACTCAACAATTTAACAATTATTAATTAACTAGAGCATTAAAATATAATTTATATAAATTTTACAATAAAAATAAAATTACACCCGTCCAAATCAATCTCCAAGACACAACAGCTGATCAGTCTAGCTCTCTCTCTCACTCTTCAACACCGTTGGTAACTCCTGTGGCGCCATCTAATGTTCCTGATGTGAAACCATATAAATTCAAATTATAGTATTCTCAAAACCGAATTGTATACACAATTCAGGTTTTTCGTGTCCGATCTTTTATTAACTGTGTTGTTGATTTTTATATGACACATCTCACTTATGTTCCTCTTCATCCAAGATAGAAACTTCATTAAAAGCAAACTGATGTCCCGTGTGGAAATAGTGCAATGATAAAGCTGTGCTGCTATTGGCTGGATCTAACGAGTCCCTTATCTCCTGCTGAACGATGTTAATTCTTTTGCAGTCATATTTATGTTGTGAGACCCTTTTATGAAGATGTTATCTAGTTTGTCCAATATACGATTTACCACAATGGCATGGTATCTTGTCTACAACTCCAAACTTATCACCAACAGCTACACGATCTCTTAATCTCGTAAAACACGCCTTCCCCTGATTGATATTGTAAAAGACAAGTTTAATATTCGTGTCATTAAAACACTGGTTCAACTCATATGAGACACCTTTAATAAACGGAAATCTCATAGGTTTTTTGACTGAACTTACTGTGTCCATCATCAAGTTATCATCTCTAGACAGTTTTTTCAGATACTTATTCTGGCATCTATCAATCATCTCTAGTGGATAATTATTCTTAATCAATAGCGATTTTAGTTTTCTGGAATTCGCTTGATGGAACTCCTTGTCTGATAAGTTGACAATGCGATTGATCATGCCCTTAATGATACTAACCTTCTGACTCAGTGGGTGGTTCGATCGATAATTTAATAGTCTACCCGAGTGTGTGGGTTTCATATACCAATTCGTTTTCAACGATCCATCACAAGTCCGGATCACTCTCAAATCCAAAAATGGTATACTCCCATCATTCTCCAGCTCCATGGTGAATTTAATTTTCCTGTGATAACTGTTAAACACACGCAAGACCTTTCTTAGACCATAAAGCTTCGGTGGGAGTGCTTGTCTCGTCATTAAGGATTTTTCCATCTGGGCTACAGTTGTAAGTGGACGTGCTCGGTCTGTGCTCTTACTTTATCTGTGAAAAAGTGAATAAATTCTCTATACATGCGCCATAAAGTGCTCTCAGCTATTACTTTAACTGTTGCGAATGTGCATAGTCATTGATACAAGTGTTCCAATCGGTTCTGCTTGTGTTTTTGCGTCCTAAGATATACAATCAGACATTTAGGTTACTGCAATGAAATAAATAAAAACGTGCCCGGTTTCACCTCCAAATGTCAGACAGCGACATCTCCAGACGCCCATGTGAACCCCCTTCGTCCTCAGCCCAACTGAACAAGTCGAAAAATGCAGTTACCACACCGGGAAATTTAAGCAGCCAAACAAAAATAGGACGTCCAAAAAATATTGAGCGTCTAAGTGTTTCCAGATCTACATCCTGCCCTTCCATCTTAGACTTCATTGAAGCTAAAAGGAAACGAGATCCAGAAGATCCTCTGTCCAAAGAAACCGAAGCTAGACCGTCCAAAATTCCAACCAGTACGTGCTCTTCCCCCCTAGGAGTTTTCGCTAGCTCCGACGTATTTTTATCCTCTTCAGATAACCTCAATATTCCTGAAGCGAATATGGAAAAGATATTTCTAGAAATTCAAGCTCTCAGGAAAGAACAAAACCTGAAACATCTAGAACTGACAAAAAAGATAGAAGACAGTGCTGATGCGTTTACAAAATCATGCACCGGAATTTTGAATAGTTTAAATTCTCTAACACTGGAGTTTCAAAATACAAAAACCAGTCTCGAAAACCGCTTAACTTCACTTGAGTCAGATTCAATTAAAAAGTCGCAACTTGAACAACTTCAGGATCTTGTTACGACCCTTGAAACCCGAGCAAAGAACATCTCTGAGAAAACCGAGCCCGAACTTGGCAAAAAGCTTGAAAATCTAACCCAGAAATTAGAAGATCTCGAGAAAGAAAACAAACGTTTCAAAATATCTATTGTTGGACTTGCCCTCCCAGCTGACAATCAGGCAGCTAGCGTACAAAACTTTCTCAAATCCAAATTTAATGTAGAATGTACGACGGATTCAATAAAAATTCTTCCTAAGCGCATTGTTGTGGATCTCAAAAATTCAGAGACGAAAGCAACTGTCATGAAAAATAAAAAAGACAAGCTAACTGGATCTAAAATCTTCATCGGGCCTGACCGCACCAGTAGAGAGTCTCAAGAAGATTGGCAACTCCGATGCGCTAAGAAACAACTAGAAGCCGAAGAGAAAAAAGTAGTCCGTAAACGAAATCTACTATTGGTCGATGGAGAACCGTTTCGCTGGAGTTGGACTGACAATAAACTCGTCTCTCTGAACAAAACCAACAAAAAAAGACGCTCCAGAAGCAACTCTCCGATGGAGACCTCAAGCAATCTGTCAAAAAAGTAATTAAAACCAGTAAGAGAAGTAAGACGATGAAGATCACTTTTTGGAACATCCACGGCTTACCCAATCTAAGTCAATGCCCCGCAATACTAAAACACGATGTAATAGCTGCCTGTGAGACCTGGAGTACCTATCAGCAAAACCCAATTTATCTGAACAACTTCCAATCCTACTGGGCCAACGCTACGAGAGAGCACTTAGTTGGAAGACCTAGTGGTGGCCTTGTGACAGCCATCTGCAAAGAATACTGCTCCGAAGTCCTCGAAGTCACCCCGTGGTGGATTTTCAACAAAATAAAGGCTGGAACTACTTCACTATTAATCGGGTCTGTATATTTTAAGAATAGCTTAGACATATTGTATTTACTAAACATGTTACAGGACCCTCTTGATCATTTTAAAACACTACATAATTACGACATTATTATACTGGGAGGAGACATGAATGCTAAGGTAGGTCAAGCTGATCTGTGGCTTGAGGAAATCTTCAACGGTCTGGCACTAAACAAAGTCATGAGCACTACTGATCATGCGACCTGTGATAGAGGCATTAAATTACTAGAGTTCATGGGAGACAACAACTTCGTCCTCATCAACGGAAGAACTGATAATGACACACCAGCCCAACCAACATTTGACGAGAGAGGCTCCTCTATAATTGATCTGATCTGGGTCAATGTCACATGTCTGCATTATATACTAGACCTGGAAGTACTCATTGAACCCACTCTTTCCGTTCATAGGCCAGTCTGCCTCTCTATCAACATTGAGGTGAGCAGCCAAGATGATACCATGACAATAACCATTCCCCGCCCAATCACGAAGGTCAAATGGTCAAACAGTAAAAAGAAGGATTTTCAGAGACTTCTAAGTTCAGCTGAACTCCCATGCACTGACAGTCTACATGAACACCAAGTATATGATACTCTGCGTAACACTATATTGCGAGTTGCAGATCAAGCTGGTATTTTAATCTCCAAAATTCCTCCTTCCGCGCAATCCTGCCCATCAAACCCATGGTTTGATGCTAGCTGTAAACATGCTAAAAGGAATTTCCGCAAAGCACTGAAGGCATACAAAACAAGCCAACTGGACCCTACTCTAAAAAACAACGTCACAATCTGCAAAAGAGCGTATAGAGAAATCTGTACTCTCAAGAAAAAGGACTATTACCAACAGATCAAGGATGCTTTTGCTAACCTATCAGACCCAACTAGCTTTTGGGCTGCTGTAAGAAAGTACAGCTATAAAGGCGGCGTGAGATCGTCAATTCCAATCAGTAAATGGAATGAATTTTATGCGTCTATTCATCAACCCCGCAGCCTGCTATATCTTTCTCCTACCATGCCTAGAAATGAAGTACTTGATTCTGAAATCACATTTGATGAATTGGAGTCTGTACTCGCCACATTAAAGCATGCCAAAGCAGCAGGACCTGACCTGCTTACCAACGAGCTGTTCCAAAACCTTACTTACCCATGGAAAAACCTAATACTGGATCTATTCAACCGCATACTAGAAGACCAAATTGTACCTGAGAACTGGAGTAACGCGCTGATGACAATGATATATAAAAAAGGGAATAAATCTGACCCTGCAAATTATGGAGGCATCGCTCTAGTAAATACAATAACAAAAATATTTACCCAAATTTTAAAGAAAAGATTCGTTAAATAGATGGATTCCGAAAAAATTCTCCCTGACTCGCAGTGGGGCTTCAGAAAAGGACGCAGCTGCACCGACGCCATCTTTATACTGCACAGTATTATCCAGTTAAACTTACGACATAATGATGGTAGGGAAATATTCGGAATTTCTGTGGATTTTAAAAGAGCTTTTGACTCAGTGCCGCATCAGCTCCTATGGCAAAAACTCAACCAACGTAATGCCAGCAGTAAATTTATCAACATACTTATCTCACTCTACGAATCCGCATTTTTTCAAGTCAAATGCGACGGCGAGCTTTCAGATAAGTTTAAGGTAACCAGAGGTGTCCTACAAGGAGAATCGATGAGCGCTGACCTCATCATATTTTTTCTCTGCGACTTCGAAGACTTCTTCCGAAATAGAAACCTATATGGCCTGAACATAGATGGACAATCTGACCTGATTACGCTCTTATACGCTGATGATACCACGATCTTTGCACACTCTCACCTGGATGTCTCAAGGAAACTCAAGGCTTTAGAAGACTACTGCTCCTCCAACGGCCTGGAAGCCAACTATAATAAAACAAGTATCATGATATATAAAGCAGCTGGTAGACATAGACAAATTCCTGATAGGTTTCAAACATAGAAGGGACATAAACTAGAAGTAGTCAATTCTTTAGTCTTCTTAGGTGTCAAGATATCGTCATCCACTCTAGGACTTGCTGCACTGAACTCAGCTCTACTCAAGGCTAAATGCGCAACTGGAACTGCCATCTCTATACTTTCAAAAGCTAAATGTGACTACTGGGACGCATACAACAAACTATATGAAAGTTTAATATCTTCTGTTCTACTATATGCCTTCCCGGCATGGGGTCTACGCTATCGCAACTCCCTCGAAGCCGCGCAATGTTTTTTCAACAAAAAACTGTTACACCTACCACGTAACACTGTAGACTGGGCTGTTAGAATAGAGTTCAAGCTGACACATGTCGCTTGGAAAGCTATGATGCTGCTCTGGACCTGGCTCATCAAAAAACTACGTGACAATGATTCGTCTCTTCTAAAAAAATGTCTACTCAGAACCTACAACCTCGCCAAAAGCACAACTACAGTAACAAAACTCAATTGGGCAAACCAACTAAGAGAGTTCCTAACAGAATGTGATCATGCCTATCTGTTCAACAACCTAGATCCTGATTATTGGAAAACCAAAACAGATCCATCTTCAGCAGATATAACACCATACTAAGAAATAGAGACTTTGATGCTTACAAATGCTCTTCTTCGGCACAACTAACAATCCCAAGATCGTTGCATGACACTGTACCTACCTACCTTCAGCTAAGATACTCTCTCTTAATCAAACGAATATTCACCCAACTAAGACTTGCTAACAAGTATATCTGCTATCTATCACTACACAATGTGTCTTGTAAATTGGATCCAACCGGAATGTGCCCACTGTGCAATAAACAAGAACCAGATGACATTGAACACTTCATATTAAAGTGTCCGACCTTTACTCCCTACAGAGACCACTATCTTAGGCCTCATTTCTCTATTAGTGCAATACAGATACTAACGGTTGAAAACGAACGCAGCATCCTAGCCGTATATAACTTTACAAGGAAGTGTATGCTACTCAGGGCATGGGCCCTCCAGCAATAGACAATCGGTTCCAATCTTATTAGCTTACATCTCTCCTTATCGTCTGAATTCTCATAAATACAATCTTAATAAAACTTAAAGTTAACTTCTCTTACTGTCATGATGTATAACTTTTTTTTTCTTTTCTTTATGTTTAATACATTGTTAATTTAATTTATTATGCCCAAGGAACCTCTTGCTAAAAGTTGTATATTTCTACTCTTAATGCAATAAATAAAAATAAAAAATAAATAAATAAAATATACCAATTCGTTTTCAAGGATCCATCACAAGTCCGGATCACTCTCAAATCCAAAAATGGTATACTCCCATCATTCTCCAGCTCCATGGTGAATTTAATTTTCCTGTGATAACTGTTAAACACACCCAAAACCTCATCAAGAAAATCTTCAGGTATAGCCGCAATCGAATCATCCACATAAATCTTCAGTATTTTAATATCAAACGGTAATCTTTTAACAATTTCCGTCATTGCATCATTTACCACCAAGTTTGCCAATATTAGACTCGCCGGATTTCCCATAGCGCTGCCATCAAGTTGTTTGTAGATATTGCCATCATACGAAAAGTAACTACTTGTAAAGCAATACTCCACCAATTCGATGATTAACTCCATTGGCAATCCAACTATCTTGGACCAGGCATTCCAGTTTTTTCTAATGATGTTAATCACAAGCTCTTGCAGTATGTTCGTAAATAACGATACCACATCAAATGACACCAGTCTAAAATTTTTAGGAATCTTCTGCAGTTTGATATATTCGACAAATTCACGAGAGTTTTTTAAATTGAATTTAAAGGTTTTTACGACAGGGCTTAAAACATTATGTAAGTACCTGGATAGTTTATATCCTAGTGATGAAATACAGCTTACTACTGGTCTTAAACAACAACCTGACTTATGAACCTTTCTCAAACCATAAAGCTTCGGTGGGAGTGCTTGTCTCGTCATTAAGGATTTTCCATCTCTTCTGAGATAAACTTCCTCTCCTTCAATCTATTTCATTGTGTCCAGGTCAGACAAAGGAAACAACACGGTGATCATGTTTAGAGAAGAGTATAAAGAAAAAATGGGAGAAATGTTAGAAGATATTGAGACATACAGCATACTACCGAGGGATCCTACAAACAGATTCAAGGATATTGCCAATAAGTTGGTGAATAGGTCTTTTACGATATCAATTAGGTGAAGGCGAGTTTGACGAGATTAAAAGATCGTGTAGCTGTTAGTGATAAGTTTGGAGTTGTATACAAGATACCATGCCAATGTGGTAAATCGTATATTGGACAAACTAGACAACATCTTCATAAAAAGGTCTCACAACATAAATATAACTGCAAAAGAATTAACATCGTTCAGCAGGAGATAAGGGACTCGTTAGATCCAGCCAATAGCAGCACAGCTTTATCATTGCACCATTTCCACACGGGACATCAGTTTGCTTTTAATGAAGTTTCTATCTTAGATGAAGAGGACCATTGGATGAAGAGGAACATAAGTGAGATGTGTCATATAAAAATCAACAACATAGTTAATAAAAGATCGGACACGCAAAACCTGAATTGTGTATACAATTCGGTTTTGAGAATACTATAATTTGAATTTATATGGTTTCACATCAGGAACATTAGATGGCGCCACAGGAGTTACCAACGGTGTTGAAGAGTGAGAGAGAGAGCTAGACTGATCAGTTGTTGTGTTTCGGAAATTGATTTGGACGGGTGTAATTTTATTTTTATTGTAAAATTTATATAAATTTTATTTTAATGCTCTAGTTAATTAATAATGTAGGAGATAGGCAGGGTTTAATAATATAATTGATAGAAGAGTTGTTTAAATTATATGCAATGTTTATTCAGAAGTAGAAATTGTATATATGTATATTACGCGAGGTGTATAGACTTGATGACTAGATACGAATGGTTAGAGAAAACGTATAGGCCGATATGCATGCACGCGTGTGTATATGTCGACGCAACTAGCATGCGCGATGAATCGACGACCGTCGCAGTGTGAGTAGTATACGTGTGAGTATTACTATCTCCAACAAATAATTGTTAAATTGTTGAGTATTAAAAGTAGTGTGATATGATACTAATAACAAAAAGAAGTTTAAGTCGATTAAATGCCGATATTATTATACATAAATTTAACAATCGATGTTTGTAATTGAGGTAATTTTATTAGTGTTTTAAATTAGTTTAATTTGATCTGTTAATTAAATTATTACTAATTGTTGTGTATGTATATATATGATGAAGATGTAATTATGATTATTGTCTGTTGTTGTACCTGAGAAAGCTGCAAAAGTGGCGAAACGTTGTATGAAAATTAAATAAACATCAAGTATTAAATATCCTGAAAATAAGAACCGTTTTTAATATATTACAAATTATGGATAAGAACGCTAATAACTTTCATTATTTTGATTATTGAAAATTATTTATTGAGATTTTGGCAAATTTAAGATTTATATACCCGTGGATAATTTTTCGTAATTTATTTTATGTTGAAATAAATTACTTGTTAATTACACCGGCACACAAAAAAGAAAGTTGTCTGTACACCGGACGCCACCTATATACGGGCATGGTAATCGAACCGCTGAACACGAATTTCAAGTCAGTTTAGGCCATCCGGGCTTCAATTTCGAGGAAATTGCAAAAAACCCCCAAAAATAGCGAAAATTCGATGTTTTTGGCAAAAAAAATTTTGAGATCTAATGCAAGCATAATTTTCATGTATTTTGATCTGTTCAATACTAATTTCGATCGTACTTTGATCATAAACCGTTTAAGTCTAAAAAAATCATAAAAAGTCATCAAAAATTATAAAAATCATCAAAAATTGCAAAAATCGAAGAAAATTGGGATTATCTTGGTATAAAAAATTTTTTGGACCCGGATTGACGAAGTTTTTCATGTAATTTAGTCTGCTTGATCTGATTCTGCAATAAATTTGGCCCATAGTCCCCTCAAACATTCATAAAATTGCAAAAAATCGATTAAATAGAAAAAAATTGCTGCTGAAAAAATGGAAAAAAATCTTTTAAACACAATTAAATAAATTTCTTGTATTTTTTATCAACAAAATACTAGATTAAAATCTGAAAATGCAAAAAAATTGTAAAATTTATAAAAATGACGTATAAACAGAATTAGAAGAATGATTTTCCCAACTTTCAAACTGTTTTCCGGTGGTATCGAGCTTTAATCTATCTGAAAACGTTCTGCGGTTTTTCACCGGCTGAAACTCCGCACAAACGTAACAAAATAGATCAGGACTCTTATTGCATATTAGATGGGAATTGCTCCTTGTAATACTATACTCTCCAATAGCCAAGTTTTCCACTACTAAAGAGCTGCAGTCGCTGGATGACGACGCCTGCGGGCCTGCTTTCTCATCCTGACCAGACGCCGATACTGGGTTTCCGAATCCCTGCATCGTAAAGTACTCACCACTTGTACCTGCCATGATGGCACACACGCCGTTAACCCAGGGACTCTGCTAGATGGTTCTGTTGCCCACCGTCACCCCGAGGAGGTGCCCTGGTTGCAAGTACAAGCGATCATGCAATGAAATGAAGTCTGCACATCGAAGAAATTAAAATCCCAACACGATGGCAAATTTTTACTAAATAAAGGAAAAGGTGGAAGAAGAGGTATCCACATCGTAGATCATTTGAGAATGAAACAGTATAATACACTCGAAAAACCGTTAAAAATTAAATTTTCATACATTCTTGGATCTTAATCTTGTATTTTAGAAATAAAAAAATACAAGAAATTTCTTTAATTGTGTTTAAAAGATTTTTTTCCATTTTTTCAGATGCAATTTTCTGCTATTTAATCGATTTTTTGCAGTTTTATGAATGTTTAAAGAGACTATGGGCCAAATTTATTGCAGAATCAGATCAAGCAGATTAAATTTCCTGAAAATCTTCGTCAATTCGGTCCACAAAATTTTTTATACCAAGATAATCCCAATTTTCTTCGATTTTTGCAATTTTTGATGATTTTTTACAATTTTTTTAGATTTAAAACGGTTTATGATTACAGTACGATTGAAATTCGTATTTAGCAGATCAAAATCCATGAAAATTATGCTTGCATTAGATCTCAAAATTTTTTTTCTTGCCAAAAAATCGAATTTTCGCTATTTTTTGGGGTTTTTTGCAATTCACTTTCGACGAATGTTATTCGTCTAGTCGGAAAATTCCACGCGGTCATTTTATATTGAACTCAAGTTCTGAAAATTTATTTAATAATTTTAATTTCATCATTTTATAAAAAATTCTTTTGAATTTAGTTAATTACGTGGATTATTAAATCCGGGAATTTTAGTTAATTTAAAGTTAATGGATGAAATTTTATAAGAATATCTTAGATAATTGAAATTAAAACTACGAGTAATAATTGAAGTAAATAGTTCGTCGAATGTTCCGGAATTTTCCTTATGCTGAGTATCAAACTCGTGGTAAATTTGGAATAAGTTTAGGCGTCGGTTATAGTCCGGAATTCTTGAGAAATAAATTATCAGTTGTGAAAATGATTTATGATTTTATTTGCTAGCTAATGACTAAAAATATTAAGTAAAAGTTAATGTAGTAAATTTTGATATTAAATTTTGTAATAATTCCTTTTAGAAGTCAAAAAAAATAAAGGTAAAATCAGTGTGTGTGAAGACACGTGGGTTATGTGTATGTGAGTGTAATATCAGCGTTCCCTCGTATACGACAGTCTCTGTGTGAGGTGTTTCGTTGATTATTTAGTTAAGGTGTAAGGTAGTGAGCCGTCAACGGGGATCCTTCGCATACGACAATCTCTGTGCGGGGTGGTTCTTGTTGGTATTGTTTTAAGTTTTGTCAAATCGTGAAGTTTAGTTCTGGTTAGCCGTTAGTAGGCTAGACGACCCCTGCATACGACAGTCTCTGTGCAGGGTAATCATAATAGTTCTGGTTAGCCGTTAGTAGGCTAGATTAGTTGTAAGGTTTAACAGCGTTCCCTCGCATACGACAGTCTTTGTTCGAGGTATTTCGCTGGCTACTTAGATAAGGGTCTGGTCAGCCGATAGTTAGGCTCTAGTGTTAAGTTAGTTTTAAGTGAGTCAGTGTACGTGCGAGTGCACGAGTTGTTAAATTATTTGGTTAAATAAATTTTAGTACCGTTGAAAATAAAAATTTATTTATTTCAGATCACCTTCCTCCACACTCTCTCCCTGGAGATATTAAGCTCTCAGCTCCGTTTCCGGTTCCAGGAACCGAGATAAAAAATCCTGGTGGCACCCTTTCTTTATTAATATTAGCTTTAAATTTGTTGTTTAATTGTTTTTATTAATTTAAATGAAGGGGCTAAATGAACAGTGAAACAAAACCGTTGCACTTTCATAACTTTTCAACGGCTTGACCGATTTCATCGTGGTTGACGCTTAACTAAACTTAGATTTTGAATACCATTTGGGTCGATTCAGAAGGGAAGATTTTAAGAAATCTAAAAAAAACTACGAAAAAAAATTAGGAAAACGGTTGACCCTGAAGGCCATCCTATTCTTTCCCGCTTCACAGCATTATTTATATTTGTTAAAAGTGCTAGCCGTAAGATGGACGGTGTGGCTTAATGTATATAGAATAAGTGAAAGGAAATTTAGTATAGACCGGATAGCTCAAATGGTAGAGTAGCCGACATGTCTTCGGAAGGTTCTGGGTTCGAATCCCAGTCCGAGCTATCTAATAATTTTTTCTCGCATATTCTATACACTCACATTAAGATGATCCTCTCCACAATCCTTTCTCAATCTTTTCCTACCAATTATCCTGTTACGTGAATTTTGGAACGCTTCACGTAATAATTATCCGTAACTCCTATTCTTTCCCGCTACACAGCATTATTTATATTTGTTAAAAATACATACAATTACATTTTTTTAACAAATATAAATAATCCTGTGAAGCGGGAAAGAATAGGAGTTACGGATAATTTATTACGTAAAGCGTTCCAAGATTCACGTAACAGGATAATTGGTAGGAAAGGATTGAGAAAGGATTGTGGAGAGGATCATCTTAATGTGAGTTTATAGAATATGCGAGAAAAAATTATTAGATAGCTCGGACTATCCTTTCAAGTTTCCGCTAGTTCCATACTTAAGCGCTTAAAATTGCACCTATGACGTTTTTGAGCTCTTTGAGCTCAAAAATACAATTTCTGTTCTTTTGAGCTCTCCGACCTCAAAAAGATAACTTTTTTTATGCTTTTGAGCTCTTTTAGCTTAAAAGTCTAAGAGGTTTGCTAAAACAATATTTTTTGAATTTTCAAACCGCAATAACTTTTGAAAGAATAAATCAATTTTCACGCCGTTGGCAGCATTCAACGCAGTCTTTCAAGCCTCATGAAAAATCTTTGAGTTTCAACTGATCAAACAAGGAATTTCGGAGTAATTCCGAAAAAACAATTTTTTTTGGTTTTCTTTCGTTCACGATATCCTTCAAACGAATCAACTGATTTTGACCGGATAAGCGGCAATCGACGTGGATTTTCAAGGTCAAAAGCTGATTAGTTTTTGGAGTTGATCCATAGAGCCGTTTAAAAGTTATTCCAGAAAAACCACATTTGAAGAAAATTGTTTTTTCAGTTTTTTGAAGATTTCTCAAAATCTATCGATCTGAATCGGTCCAAACAGTTTTTAATATTTAAGTTTGGTCAAGCCCTTTCGAATGCCACCAACCACGATGAAATCGGTTCAACCGTTCAAAAGTTATAAGCGGTTCACATATTTTCACACACACACACACACACACACACACACACACACACACACACACACACACACACACACACACACACACACACACGCGGCAGAGGAGAAACTGCTACCAGGCGCGTCTCCCCCGTAGCGGAGTCTTCAACGTCATTCTCATTCAAAGATTGAGTGTTCTCAGCCCCAACGTAAACTCCACATAATGGACACAAATGATGAATTTCGATAGGTATCGAATACTCATTAACAATTTTTTTGATATATTGACGTGAAAGCTAATGGGGTCTCAATCATAGCATCAATCAAATCAGCTATATGAGTGATTATAGCATTATCCAAATTTTTAGCTATTTGTGACAGGGAAAATCGAACTTCCCGGGGTCATTTTCGACCCCAATAATTGACGCACGGTAGGTAAGGGCTTTCCCTTACCGTTCGATTTTTTTTTTGACAAGAATTTCGACTAGTCACCGGGCGTGCAAATCACAGGTCCCTACTACTGTCCCCGAAAAACGAAGCGGGATGTAACGATAGGAAAGTTCGAGAGCCCGAGTGCGGGGTTATAAAAGAGCGTGCACGAAAATGATCGAGGCTTTTTTCCTTTTTCCTCTGGAAGCCAGTGGCCTGTTGCCTTTTGTATATCAGTGACCTTTTTTTTAAGACCAGTTTAAATTAGACAGTGCAGTCTTGGTAACTAAGAAGCAACTACGGAGGAGTTTTATCATGTTGTTTGGAAGTGGACAAGCCCTGATCGGGGGCCAGCATCGTGGGTTGAGACGACAAGACGCCAAGCAGCTGGGCCAGTCAAGTTGGACCGGAGTATCAATCGTCGTTGGTTAACAAAAGTTGAGTTACCAGGTATTTTTGAGTATTTTAGGTCAGAATTGATTAATTATTTAATTAAGAGGCTGAAATAATTAAAGTAAATTTCTCGAGCGGTCATTGCTACATTGGCAAGTTTGGTGCTTTGGAGATTTGTGCGTCAAGGTCATTTGGTTTGTTTTCGTTACTAGATATTTATCTTTAGAGAATGAAATTAATAGATTATTTGTGAATTTATGGTAGATAATTGAATCATTAATTTATTATAGGCCTGTTGGCTATAATAAATTAATTTAGTTAATAATTTCAAGATATAAAGAAAAGTGAATTTGTATAGTAAAGGAAAATGCGTAATTAAGTCAGTGAAGGTCATTCTAGTATGTTCTATAGTTGAAAATTTTGAATTGAGCCGCTAAGATATTAACAGTTGATGTTTAGAGTTTTGTTTAGAAAAGATTTAATTTAGTAAATTTTGTTACGAGTTCAGTAGAATTTATTAATTGAAAATATTAGCAGAAAATTTAGTAAGTGAACTAGTACAGAAATTTAGTGATTATTTAATGTAGTTGAATTTATTTGCAGTAAATCAGTGTTGAAGTGAAATTTAGTAGATTATAATAGTATGGTAAGTTTTGGAAAGTTTAATTTAGGCCGGTGGATAATGAAATTGAATTGTTAATTTAGAAAAGGTGCATAATGAATTTATTAAGAAATTGTTTGAATTTAAAGATAATTTATTAGAAAATCTCGATAAAGTAATTCGGTGAATTTAGTAAATTTAGTAAATCTGAAAATTGGATTTTATTTATGAATAATTGTTGAGAGGTTATTTAAGAAGATTTAAGAAATGGATTTAGATAATAAGAAATTTATGAGTAATTAAATTTAGTAAACCAGAATATGTGCAGAGTTTTGTTGAAGAATTGTGAATTATGATAGGATTAAAATTTGGAATTTTAGTTCAGTAGTGATTTAGATAAATGAATAAGAATTAAGAATGAATATGAATTTGGAAGCTTTTTATGAAATTTAGGAAATTTTATATTGTCAGTTATTCCGTCAAATAACGAGGGTTTTAAGTAATTAAGGAATAGAAGATAGACGCGTAATGGTCTATATTTGAAATAAAATTTAAGAATCTAGATGCGTAATGGTCTATGATTGAATTAGGAATTTAAAGATAGATGCGTAATGGTCTATGATTGAATCAGGAATTTAAAGATAGATGCGTAATGGTCTATAATTGAGTTAAGAAATTAAGAAGATAGATGCGTAATGATCTATGTTTAAAAGAATTTAATGATATTTAGTTTATAAGGATTTTTGGCAAGTGCCTGTTGAGAAAGCGTTTCTCGGAAATTTTGTATTAAGATTTTAACTGTAAAACTGTCTTGTTATTTTGTTAATTCTTAAGGTTTATTTTTTATTGTTTAATAAATTCGATGAACTAGATAAAATTGTCCTCAGTATTTATTTTCAGCCTATCTCAACTTCTCACGACCCGACTTTCCTGCTCGTGCTCTTCCGGTTTCTGGGACACCGCGAAAATAATCCCAGTGGCGCCCTTTTCATAAGGAAAGGGGTGACCAATTGAACAGGGTTAACCACCCCGTTACATATTTTTGTAGCTAAAATTAACAGAGTTCTTATTAGAACGTCGACAGTATAGGTACTATTTTCTTTATAACTATTAATAGTACTGTTTAAATCTTGATCATTTATTTGCTCATCAGAGTTATTATGCTGAGGAGAACCAATATAAACGTGAGCATCATTGTCACCGGCTAACCTTTCGCTATTGTCTTCATCTTCACTTCCGGAAGAATCATCTGATGAATTTTCGTTGCTAAACGAATAGTAGTTGTAATTATGGTAATTCTCATCAGATTCATTTCCCTGTAAGATTATTTGAAATTAATTAAATATTTAAAAAATTGCTGAAATGAAAGTTTGATTTAAATTTGGATTTCACTAAATTAAATTTAAAAAAAAATTGAAGTCAATGTATCATTGATCACTAAGAAAAAAAATACTTTTATTAAGAAAATTTTCTTGATACAAGAATTTATGCTCTTGAAAATTTTCAATAATATTTATTCTTAGCTTAAGAAATTGTTAAATTAATTGAAATAATTTTTACTCAATTTAAATAAAGCTAATCTTTTGTTTATCTATTATCCAAAGATAAATATTAATGTTCTTCTCTTTAGAAATTAATAATTAATAATAATAGAATATTTGATCGTCAGCGAGTTTCTTGAGCCAAAACATCGTTAAATGAGCTGAAGTATTTTTTTTTCTCAGTGATGCAGATTTTATCTGTAAAAAAAGATAAATTTTAAACTTTAGTCAGAACTGTTATGATGTGAGTTATTAATGTTATTCTTGGAATAACTGCAATTAATACTTAAAAATATAATTCACTACAAAATTGTGTTGAATTTTAACACTAATTTTGTGTTGACTGTATTTAACACAATATTTTTACTGTGTATGACTACCTAAATGGACTTAAATCATAAATATGCTAATTGGCTTTTAATTTTATTGAAAACTCTGCTTATTAATTTACTCACAGATCCAATACTCACAAATCATTTGTCAATAAAATTTCACGTCACCAGTTAAATTGCATTATTAACACAATAATCTAGTATAAACATTTGGTCGGAAAATATTTTGTGGTGAGTAGTTGGTCATTAAGTTCACTATTGTTAAACACTTGGTAACATACCTCATTTTCGGGAACACCATAATCAGGCTCATTTCTCTCATCAATATTATTTTCAGGAATACAATTCGTCGAAACGTTGCCCTCATCAACAGTGTCATTCATTGTTGAAGATAAAGAAGATTGCTCGAGAGAATCCATTTCAATTTCATGGTGATCTTGTACAGCTTGTAGCTCCGGTAAGCAAAATAACGGCATGAGATTCACTGTAAAAACTCCAAGAACTATGGTGAGTTCAAGTGGGACTCAAATTTATGTTATGATAAAAATATATCAGATAAAGATGAAAGTATTTTTGGAATTAATCTTACGTCAGGCGCAGTGCTTTCTGTTATATTGTTGTCATCAGATGGATGATCGGCGCTGTAGAAAATATTATTAGATTAGAATATTTTACTCGCAAAATGTAGGAAAATATATCATACCTAACTGAGGAATTCCTAGATCGCTCTCTAGCTTTCCAATAATTCTTTGTTCTTTTTGGAACTTCAGCATCACTACCGAATAAAAGATGTTTTTTGTATGGACCACGTTTCTTAGATGGGGGCATAATTTTTATTGTCCTATAATACCAAACTATTGAAATTGTAATAGAAAAAAAAAAAGAATCGAAAAATTGACAAGACGAAACTGACTGAGCAGTAAAAAATATGCAAACGAACGAACAGTTAAAATTTAATAAAATACATGGTGATATAAACATTTAGATGAAACGGAGTAAGTATTTTGGTTATACAAATCCACTTATTACCGTCTGACATTGATTTACAGCTCACCTGAAAGAGGGAGCCAGAGTCGCAAGTAAATTTATATAGCATACGCAGTGTACTAGAGAAAAAAGTATAGAGTGTTTATTTCAACGAATGTCTCTACATGGCTTCAATACCATTTTGTATTTCAAAGTGAACAACATCAAAGTTATAAATAAAATAAACTAACAATTAACCCTCGATTTATTAAAAAAAAAAAAATAGGACAAAAAAAAATTGTTTATATTTGCGTGGTTGTAATGAAAAATTCATATAATAAATTCTAAGTTAGTGTTTGTCTATTACCGCCAAAACCCAGCGTTGAGTTGTTACTTTCAGACCGCGGAAAGCGCCATTTTGAGTTCAATCTTCAACTGCAGCTCATGTTCTTTCTATGCTTTCCTTGCGATACGTTATAATTTATTCCGCTAACCATTAAAATTTATTAAAAATATTAAATATGACAAGGTAAATGTTGCAATTACTGTATTTATTTATTCGAAACTATTTTGAATTATAAGTTGATCATCATATTTATGTTGTAGCAACTCAGGTGAATTACTGGCTTTGGTTAAGTGGGTGGGTGGTGTTGATGATAAAAAGTATACCACTGGGATTAACGTCGCACACATTAAAAACTTCAATGAAAAAAAAATTCCTGGATGGCGAAGAAGATCCAGAAAAGGTTTACGTCGTAGAGTGGCATGACGGGCCAGAACCTCTTGGAGGTCGGATCTGTTATAACGCTAGAGTTATTGCAATCTTAAGTAATTTTATTAATTAATAATTTCTAATAACAAATCACATACACTTCAATTCAATTAATAATTATGTTGTTTGTAGAAAAAATTACTGTTTTAGAAAAAAAATTTAAAGCATTGGATGGCATGCAGTCACCAAGACGAGTAGATCCAAAGCTTTTTGATAAGGATGTCTCTCTGAAGGCTAAAGAGCCACAGAAACCAGAGAAAAAAAAGAGAAGCTTATGGTGAATCAAGCTCGAGTATGTTGAAAGAGCTTCAAAAAAGTAATACAGAAAGCACTGATAATGGTAAAAACACGAAACGAAAGGTAAATCATAAAGTTTGATAAATATTTTAATATTTTGAGCAACTAAACAATTATTATCATTATTATCAAATTTTTTTATTTAATAATCGATTAGACAGAATTACATGATTCGGAGGTAGAGATTTATGAAGAGATTATTTCATTGGTTGACGATCCTGATACAGCTGGTGCGAATAATGATTGTAACATTTTATCGTGTATTAAAGATAAAAATTCTCATCAAGGTATAAATATTTACAATCAAAATTTGTTGAATTAATATTTGATAAAAAATGTTTATTGATTTTCGCCGAAATAGATGCATGAATTTAATTTTTTTTGCTGTTGAAATTTTAATTTACTTTAGCCAAGTCAAATGAATTGTCGACAGCGGGCACTTCACCAGCAGACGGTAAATTTTCTCCTACGCATCATTCTTCTCCTAAAACTAAATCGAATCCAGAGAAAGGAAAAATGGTACTTTTAATATTTTAATTATCTACTGAACGAGTTTTAATATATTAAAACAAAATATGAATCTTGATAATTTTTGTTCTTTGTAGAAAGAATTGGGACTTCCAGGATCTGGGGTATTTATACCTGAAGCACAATTTAATGTAGCCGAAAGGGCCCAATCTGCGACCGCCATGGCTACTTCTCTTTTGATGTCGGTTTTCCCTCGAAGTGTCATTGCTAACAGCAACTTGAGAGGTGGAAAACCTAAGACAAAGAATTCTACTGTCCAGCATAGCGCTCTTGATTCTGACAAACTAACGGCAATACATGGTAAATTTCTATTTTATTTAAAAGTTTTTTTAATATTTTGTGAGTATTAATTAATTTAAGTAATTTAAATTGCAATTTTTAAGATCCATAAAGGGTAAGTTTTTATAAATTTACATTCTATAAATTTTCATATTAATATTCGTTTTTAGACGCTGTAGAAAAACGTTTTAAGCGTAGGTACAATAAGAGTGAAGTAAACCGTGCGATAAACGTTAAGTGTAGTAGAGTCAGAAGTGAGAAGAAAGAAGCAAAGGTATTCTCAATAAAATTTAATTTAAAAAGTAAAATTATATTATATTAAAGTTTTAATTATTAATAATTATTGAATTATTTCAGGTTCAAGAAGGAGCTAAAAAACCAAACTTATTACTATTAAATTTTTATATTTTCTCACCTTTTGTTTTTTTTCCTCATTATGATCTGCTTCATTGATTTTCTTCTGTCATGTTATGATTTCGTTTAAAACTTACCTTTGTTTATTGTTTTATTTTTGTATCAAAAAGTTACATTATATTCATTTTTTTTTTTTTAATTAAAGTGTATAACAGTACTAAATATTTTATGAGCATGTTTCGATAAATAAAATGATAATATTTTCATGAATAAAAAAATTAAAAATTAAGAACATATATGTGTCTAAAAAAATAATTGATTTACAGATAGGACGCAAAAGTTTTCAGATTATTAAACGCTTGATAATTATTTATATACATATATTTATTTTTATGCAGAATGAAAAATATGTGCAAATGTACATATTTTTTTTACTCGTATATATACTGGTATACATTGTGCTTGAATATATCAGCATTTCATGCGGTATATTTACTGGTATATATCAGCATCGCACGCGGTATATATACCGCGAATATAGAAGCATCGCATGCGGTATATATACCGCGAATATAGCAGCATCGCACGCGGTATATATACCGCGTATATATCAGCATCGCACGCGGTATATATACCGCGTATATATCAGCATCGCACGCGGTATATATACCGCGTATATATCCTTTCGTATATATAAGTGGGCAAAAAATTTATATCCCTGTATATATACAATATATATACTCGGATATATACGCAGTTTATATACTCGGATATATACCACGTATATATCCGAGTATATATATTATTTTCATGGGGAGGTACAGAAGTAATTGTTGGCTCGTCTCAGTTGAATTTTGCTGATCAACGTACTGAACTCGTTCTTGATTGAGTAAGCTGGTGCTGTATCGAAGAGTGACCTTGGGATTATAATTTTTTATATTTCGAAGAAAAATGGAATTTTTCCTGAAAAATTCCCTAAAAAGATGATTATACACAAAAATTAACTTAGATCGTGTAGAGGCACGTGTTGTTTTAAATTAAAAAAAAAAAATTTTTTTCAGTGTTTTTTCATCAAAAAGAAGCTTTTTAGAGGCGCCGCAAAAAAATTTAATTTTTAACGACCACCCTAACGGACAAATGAATCTATCTTTTCTTGACGAGTCGATGACTTAAACTCTAAATGAGCATTAGACTTGGCATCATTTCTTATCACAAATATTTGAGCGGTAAAAGAAGTATTACATAATTTACATTTAGCTTTATGTATATTTCCAGGATCTGGAGTTAACAATTAGCGAAAGTCTGGTTCCTTCAACTAACTATCTCTAAATTTTTGTGACGTTTTCGTGTTGACATGGATTTTTTTCTGCGGTGGTGTATTTTCATCTGATGATTCGTCGCTCATTTTAAAATTAAGGGGGTATTCTAGTGTAGAGGCATGAATTTCGCCCGGTTTTTGAAGCGCTCTACAAAGGAAAAAAAAAATATTTTTACTATCAATTTTTTTATCATTTGTTTATTGATTTGTTATTAATACATAAAAAAATTAATAAAAAAAAAAAATTAAAATTTACAAAGTTACAAGTAGTCAAAGTGGGGGGTCTAAATAAAAGAGGGTGTCCTGGCGTGCATTCTTCCAACCCTCCTGGTGATCTGAAAAACAAAAACCAGACGGATTCTTAATTATTATAAATGTCGCTATCATATCACCCTTGGATAAGTTAAAAAAAAATTTTTTTACAAAATGGCGGAAGTTTGAAAAAAAAAAATTTTTTTTTTTGCATGTTTTTTAACAATTCCGAATTTTTTAAAAATACTAAATGAGAAGTTATATTTTTGGGCAAGGGCCACCCGATGAAGAGATGTATAAAGAACATCCTCTCCAAATTTGAAGTAAATCGGTCCATTAGAACTCGATATATCCTTACCGCCAGCTCGAAAAAAGTAGTTTCGAGAAAAACGCGTTCAAAGTTTTGAGACAAGTTTTCGACAATTTTACTTATAGAATGATACAGAATACTTACATATTTTTAATCAGCTATTCCTCTTGAACACAGGATCAATGTTGAAAGCGTGGTAAAAACAGAAAAAAATTCTAGAATACAATAACCGTAATTGTTATTAATTATAACTTCCTCATCCTGCGAATTTTTTAATTTTGCTGCAGATGCACTAGTGAAACTGGTTTCTTCTTCTACAGTAAATTGATTACCTGAAAATCTCCTTTTTTTTGATCTGCATGGCCGTGCAGAACTAAATTTCGAAGATTTTCTATCCATTTTACAAAATTTACAAAATAATTTTCACTTCAAGAATAAACACGTTGTCAGAGCTAGTACTTCCACTCAGTATAAAGGTTACCTCAAAACTAACTTAAAATGAAACTAAAAGGACAATATTCCAACAAAACCAGTTTCTATGACCTTCAATTAAATATAGATTTAACTTAAAAGGGATACAATACAATAGAAAAGGACCTTCATAAGTAGGGACTCGGGAACGCCCAGCGTCTTTTGTCAACTTGTAGCGGTCAGACCGGAACCGATGCCACGTCACTAAAACGGCTATAACTCGTGAAATAATAGGAATATTAAAGAATCCTTTTAAACGCATATTCTTGAATGCCTAAACTTTGGAAATATGAAAAAAAAAAATTTTTGATTTTTCCAAAATTCTACACTAGAATACCCCCTTAAATCTCAACTTATTGGAATCCTTGGAGAAATTCAAAGGTGTATCAGAATATAATCGAGATGTCGGATCCTCAAGATTCAACTCATCCTCGGTCGAAATTTCCTGACACTTCCGCGGTCTGTCCCTCTTTCCGGAGACTACCGTGGTTTTCTGTGGGCTTAAGCTAAAGGACTCGATGGGAAGGCCTGCATCGAGGGTTGAATTCTTATTAGTCTCAGTGGGAAGGCCTGCACTGAGTTTTGAATTGAGATTCTGTTTAGCTTGTTGGGCTCGTGTAGTGACATTAATTGGGTTCGGGGCATTTCGAGAAAAGGCGTCGGCATTTGTATTGACTTTACCGGGTTTGTAGACCACTTTGTAGTTAAAATCAGCAAGACGGAGGCGCCATTTGAGTACGCGGGAGTTCCCTTCTGTTGCCGATTTGAACCAAACGAGAGGTTGGTGGTCAGTGACAATAGTAAACGAGCGCAAATACACATATGGGCGGAAATGTTTCACTGCTTGAACCATCGCTAACGCCTTGTTACGGCCTCGCGTAACCCCTTAATGTTCGATTAATTGGTCAACGAAAAAAAAAAAACCTAATTAATAAAGGAATTAAGAACTACTGCATCGCTGGACCCCTAAGAACCGCCCGCCCCAGGCCCCTCAACTTCTCCCTCGGAGTAGACTAGAGGGAGGCGTAACTATTATGTTAATAGTTAGAGGCGCCATAACTATTGTGGGAGGGCCCTAAGAAACGTATATTGCGGGGAATCTATTGTCCTCCGCTGTTGCTACCCGGTCCCTGGTGAAAAAAAAAATTAAAACCGGAATAAATAATCTTGAACACAGGATCAATGTTGAAAGCGTGGTAAAAACAGAAAAAAATTCTAGAATACAATAACCGTAATTGTTATTAATTATAACTTCCTCATCCTGCGAATTTTTTAATTTTGCTGCAGATGCACTAGTGAAACTGGTTTCTTCTTCTACAGTAAATTGATTACCTGAAAATCTCCTTTTTTTTATCTGCATGGCCGTGCAGAACTATATTTCGAAGATTTTCTATCCATTTTACAAAATTTACAAAATAATTTTCACTTCAAGAATAAACACGTTGTCAGAGCTAGTACTTCCACTCAGTATAAAGGTTACCTCAAACTAACTTAAAATGAAACTAAAAGGACAATATTCCAACAAAACTAGTTTCTATGACCTTCAATTAAATATAGATTTAACTTAAAACGGATACAATACAATAGAAAAGGACATTCATAAGTAGGGACTCGGGAACGCCCAGCGTCTTTTGTCAACTTGTAGCGGTCAGACCGGAACCGATGCCACGTCACTAAAACGGCTATAACTCGTGAAATAATAGGAATATTGAAAAATCCTTTTAAACGCATATTCTTGAATGCCTAAACTTTGGAAATATGAAAAAAAAATTTTTTTGATTTTTCCAAAATTCTACACTAGAATACCCCCTTAACAAACGAATTCTTCATCCAACCTCTACATGACCACAGAATATTGAGGATAGTGTGTACATACAATCGAGGTTATATTTTAGTTTGGTTGTCACCTATTCCGACGTAATTGATACATTGTACACTACGAGCGCTGAATTGAAATGTATCCTACTATATCAACAGTGGATAATTTTTGCGCCAAAATACAAATTAAAAAAAAATACTTGATAAAATTATTAGCTATTAGTATTAGTAGTATAGCTGGGAGCGTTCGAGATATAGGCAATGTAGGAATCTACTTACCGACAGGGTGGTTTGTGTCCATGCTAAATTATCAACCATATTGTCAACCCTTTTTTATCATTTGACCATATTTTCAACCCTTTTTATCGACTATTTTGAATTTTAATCTCAGCCATTTTCCCGCCCTCTTTTTATCAACTATTTGAATTTTTATTTGCACCATTTTCCCGCCGCTTTGGATTCGCCATCTGGTAGCCGCTATTTTGAATTTCCGCCATTTTCTCACCCCCTTTTTGATCCGCCACGTGGTAGCCGCCATTTGCCATGACTACGTCACCCCTTTTGGCCCGCCATCTAGTAGCCACCAATTCTCGCGACTACATCACCCCTTTTGGCTCGCCATCTAGTAGCCGCCATTTTGACATGTCCACAACTCTTTCATCATCATTGTCCCCTGATTACATCAGCCACAATGTTGTCAGTTATTTCGTCAGCCTTTTTGTAAACAAGTCTAAACTTGTTAGTGACGTCATTTTCTGATGAAATTTTTTCTGATGCAACCCTTTATGCGCAATTGACCCCCACTTTTTCATCTTTATGGTGTTGGTGGTGGGGATTAATGATATAAAATCGGCTCACAACCGCGAGATCATCATTTAGTTTGGATTTGTTAGCCTGTGCACTTCAAGCTTACCAGTGAAAAATTTTGTG